AGGGCAAAAGTACGGCTCGGGAGAGGGGCCTGGGCGTTCTTGTTTGGTGAGGGCACAACGCTTTGGGTGACCTGGTAGATGATGAATTTCTGGTTTTACATATGGGGCAATTGAGGCTCCGAGCTAGGAGATGGGACTGACCTAATGTCACACAAGGGATTTGTCGTGCCTTCAGACATCTCTAAGCCAAACCTAGGGCTCTAGCAAATTGAGTTATCCAATTTCCTATTTACTGATAGACAGGTGACTCTCTTCCTCCCTCCCTCACTCTCCCTTCCTTTCCTTTGCCTTCCCTCTTTTATTTCCCTTCCCTTGTTTTTTCAGTAAAAATGGTAACAGGAAGAGAAGAAAATGGGAATAATGAGTATGGAGAATTGAAAAGCAAAGAAATGATTAAGGAAAATTCAGGAGAGTGCTTTCTTCTGGGAGGGAAGGAGGGGGAATGTGTTATGGGAGAGGTACAAGAAGTGGGGAATTAGGGGTCCTCCGTGATTTTAGTGGGGGACTTGGGCAAGTACACCCTAAGCCCTCTCCAGGTCTGTTTTCCCATCTGGGAAATTCAAGGGTTGCCCTCAGTTATCTCCAGAGTTTTTACAGATCTACGTTTTCTGAGTCCATGAAAATAGATTGTGGATGATGAAATGTTGGTTTCCTTTCTCGGGGCTAAATGTTGTGGATGTAGTAGATGGTTAGGCATCATGGGAATATTACTTAACTTGTCTAAGTCGTAATTCCTCCTTTGTGAATATGGGTAACAATAGTACTTCCTATTGTGAAAATTAATATAGTACCTGGACAGGGTAAATGATCACTAAATATTAGTTATTGTTATTGTTAAATTTGCAGTATATTTAAAGCTCCATTTTCATGGAAAAGCTTTGTGTGGATTATGCAACCATACTGAACTTGTGGGCCTGGGAGCCCCCTCCAATTGTGTGGATTCCCGCTTGAGGAGAAAGAAGGGGATCTAAAGATGTTGCAGTTGGAAAGGCCAAGGGGGAATGGTCTTGGTAGGAGGGATTACCCAAGGTAAAACTCTCAAGGATCCGGGCTGCTGGGGTTTTCCATATGTCTCAGAAATTTAGGCAGGTGTGGTCTCCTGGTGCCCCACCGACGGATGAGTCAGCACAGGGACGAGAACCACTAGGCTCACAGACAGACAACTTCCTGCTCCCCTGGGCTTTTCCCTTGGTGTCCACCCAGCCTGCAGCCTTCCTCCCTCAGGTGAATGACCTGAGATTGGCTGAGGCAGTTCAGGTGGTGATTGTGGCCTTGCAGATAGATTGCACCCAGAGCTGGAGTCAACACAACATGTTATTTCCTGTCTTCTGGGTGCACTCACCTTAAATGGAGCTATTGTTAAGTGATTGGACAGGGCTTTCCCCAGGGCGGTTCCTGTTTGCTCCCAGTCACTTCCCTGGTAGTGATTGTTAACCGCTTGTTAGGGGTGAGGAGAAGCTACCTTGAAAAACACACAACAGCTCTTTCCCCTACCCACCCCCCCCCAAAAAAACGCCACCCTAAAACAACACAAATAGTACATACACACAACCATAAAGGAAAGTTGGGCTATTACACTGTGTTCATAAGTCACTGGGTTGGTATATCACCACAGATAGAGCTTTGGGTTTTTTTGCCCTGTTTAGAAGACTTGTTGGTTCATATCTGGTCAGCGTTTCCCTTTAGGGAACTCTTGAGGTTTCCTCAGTGTAGGGAACAAGGTGCGGGGGGGGGTGAGGGGGGAGAAATCCCCTTTTAAGAAACTCCCTTGCTTCCTGCAGTTTCTGAACCACATCTCCTTCCGTTGGCTAGCCTTGCCTACCTGGCTGGCCTCACCACCCAGGACGATTGACACCAGGGATGAGGCCTTCATGGTGTCTATATTCCAGACACTTTACCTATTTTTTCCCCTAATCTCCATAGCTACCCTATGAGAGAGTGTTGTGGGATGACTTATTTCCCCTTCTTGTATTTTCATGGTCGTGGGTGGGGGATGGATTCCCACTCTTTTCTCCAGCAGGGCTGACCCTGGAGGAAAACATGCAGCTACCGGCTTCCTCTTACCCACTCTCCCCCAGGGCAGGAGGAGGACTTCTCTCTAACTCCACCGAAGACGGCTGACCTGCTGACTTTCCGAGAAGGATCAGTGCTAGGTTGGGGCACACTTCCCCCAGAGTGGGTGTGTTATTATCTGCTGTCTGCGGTCGCCCACTGTGTCAGTGACTGCGTGAAGTATTTTTGCCTCAGCCACATCCTCCAGGCAGCTTCGTCAGTAATAAAGATGAGACTTCGATCTCTACCTGTCTGACACCTGCTTTTATTTCTCAGTTCTGAACGCAGGAGGGGCATAAAAAGTGTTTATTGGCTTCCTAAAACTTCAGCAGTGGTTGCTATTTTTATCATTCCTATTTTAAAGATGAAGAAAGAGAAGCATGGAGAAGTTCTAGAATGTTCCACAGAGCTGGTAAGTGAGGTGGTAGGAATAGACATTCGAATCCCAGCAGTCTGACCCTGTGCTGAGTGCTCCTGTGTGCTGTATGTGCAACTGGTCCCCTTTCCTGCCCTTGTCCACAGGCAAGCGAGAGATCATTCTGTTCTTGTGGCCAACCCCCTAGTGCTTAGGCCCTCCTTGCCTTGGGATGCTGTCAAAACCAGACAGACTGGCACACGTAATATTGCTTGACACACGCAATCAATGTGATAAACAGACCCAAGTTGGCGTATCTTCCTGGGTTCTTTGTTTTTGGTGTAATAACACCCAGGGCTTTGGAGTAAGAAACAGGAATCCAACTGTGCTTCAGCCACACACAGAGTGTAATACATTTGCAAACTGTCCTTTGTCTCTAGTCCAAGTCACCATCATCTCTCCCATGGAGAACTGCGGGGTCTCCCCCTCATTCTTCATGGTGTCTCTCTAAATTTCAGAAGTTACAACTGCTATAAGGTTGGGAGAAATTATTTACAAGTGTCGATGCTGTGGCCAGAGTAATCGTCTCAAACTAGAAATTTTACCTGTTAATATCTTGCTTAAGACCCTCCAAGAGCTCCCCCTTATGCTGAGAATAAAATTCAAACTCTTCCTTGGTTTGCAGCACTGTTTACCCCACCTCTACTCCTCCCTCCACCGGGCCCAGCTTGCTCTGCCTGAGGTTATTTCACGAGCTGTTTCTTCCTCCAGCTTTCTTTTTACTTTGTTATCTCCTGCCCATGCATTCGATCTCAGTTCAGGAGTGACTTGTTCAAAAATTTATTCACTGGCCCCCTCTGTGAGTCAATTCCCTTGTTCCCGGCTTGTGGGGGCTCTGTGGCCCCCTCGCTCATAGCACTAGGGCCAGTTTTACATGTACTGGTGTGATATGGTTGGTACCTGCCCATCTCCAGATGTCATCAGAACTTCAGCCCCTGGGGGCCAGCGACCTGGGACTGGACTGAGCTAGAACTACACCAGGAATAGAGAGCAGGCCAGTATAAGCCCTTCAATGGCTGGAGTGTGTGCCAAGGCAGAGAAGCACCTGCAGGGAGTGTGGGGTTGGAGCCTTCAGAACCTGGTGGGCCAGTTACAGATTTTGTGTTTCATCTTAAGTGCAGTGGGAAGCCTTCCCAGGTTTTTAAGCAGTGCATGCACTATTTATTTTATGCTCCAAGGTCTCTCTCCCTTTCCTGGGGGAGGAAGCATGGCAGGGACTGGAGCAGACCTGGGAAGAGCACTTAAGGTTATTGTTTCAGGAGAGAGATGATGGAGCTTCGGACCAGGGACGTAGGAGTGGAGACAGAGAGGGGAAATGTTTTTTTAATTGAAGTATAGTTGATTTACAATGTTGTGTTAATTTCTGGTGGACAGCATAGCAATTCACTAATACATATATATGTATTCTTTTCCATTATAGGTATTACAAGATACCGAATATAATTCCCTGTGCTATACAGTAGGACCTTGTTGTTTATCTATTTTATATATAGTACTTAATGTCTACAAATCCCAAACTCCCAATTTATCCCTCCTCACCTCCCCTTTCCCCACTGGTAGCCGTAAGTTTGTTTTTCTCTGTCTGTGAGTCTGTCTCTGTTTTGTAAATAAGCTCATTTGTGCCCCCCCCCCCTTTAAGATTCCACACGTAAGTGACATCATATGGTATTTTTTCTCTTTCTGGCTTATTTCACTTGGTATGAAAATCTCCAGATCCATCAATGTTGCTGCAAATGGCATTATTTTATTCTTTTTTTTATTGCTGAGTAGTATTACATTGTATACATATACCACAACTTCTTTATCCAGTCATTTGTCGATGGACATTTAGGTTGCTTCCATGTCTTGGCTGTTGTAAATGGTGCTGCTGTGAACATTGGGGTGCATGTATCTTTTCAAACTAGAGTTCCTTCTGGATATATGCCCAGGAGTGGGAGGGGAAATTTGATAGGGATTTTGGTGGTAGCATCTTGACATTAAAGTACAGGGGGCTGGTTTACCCTTAGCTGCAGGAAAACCTTGGCACTTCTGCTGCTTCCCGTCATGTATTTTTCTCCCTTTACAATTCCTTTGCATTTTTGTCATCTATGCTATTGAAAATCCTCTAACAATTCAAACTGCTACAACTGTTGCAATATTGAGAGTTATTTATAAAACTCAGTCATCTTAGGTGGGAACACAGTTTCTGGGCTAAATGCTACTCCAAGGATTGCCTGCTTGCCAGCTCCCAGATGCTCCTAATTCACAGTATTTTCCATCACTCTTGACAGTAGGGTTTCTCAGCAGTGGCACAATCGACATTTGGGCAGATAATTCTTTGTTGTGGGGCTGCCCTGTGGGTTATAAGATGTTTGGCAGCATCGCTGGCCTTACTCACTAGATGCCAGTAGCACCTCCCACCCCAATTGTGACAACCATGAAAATATCTCTGGATATTACCTAATATCCCCTGAGGAAGCCAGGGGATTAACTCTCCCCACCCACACCAGAAGAACTGCTGGTCTACACAACAGGTTCAGAGAAAACCCAGTCCCTGGATCTGAGCTGGTTGGAATTCAGAGTCTGTCTCCTCATCCCTTCTGCATCCTCCCTGTGGGCCACACACACGCATCAAGTATAATGAAAGCTCCCTGAGTTCCCTCTGATTTGCTGTCCTGTCTATATTGGATGTGAAACAACACAGGTTAAGAGGGACCTGGTCAGTTGTGTGACCACCAGGCAAGTGACTGGGCAACTGGACACCTGTTGCCCATCACTGCTTCTCATCAGCCTATCTGTGGAACACATTCTTGCCAGGTCTGCCTGGCTTTAAAGCCCAGCTTAAGTCTCACTTCTTCGTAATCCTTGTTGGCCTGCTCAACTTCCTGTGGCTGGTGAGGGCAATTAAATGACTGTTTGATTGGTTGGTTGATTGATTGATTCATTCAACAAATATTTACTGAGCACCTACTATGTGTCGGGCATTGTTCTGAGTCCTGGGAATATAGCCTTAAACAAAGCAAAGTATTTGCTCTCATGAACTTCCTAGAAGGGAAGAGACAATAAATAAATGTGTCAGGGAGTAACTGTTGGGGTTTCGAGGGCTCAGTATTCTATCCCGCATCTGTGGAAGGTAGTCTTCAAAGGTGGCCTTTCCCTTCCTGTATGTGCAGACTGCTCTTTACATCAAGAATCTGGGCGGGCTCTGTGACTGCACCGCCCAGTAGGATTCAGTAGGAGTGCTATTCCCAAGTTTCTGAGACCAACTTTTAAGAAGACTGTTAGTTTCTACTTCTTTCCTCTTGGAACACTTGCTTGTGGGACAGTCCTACTTGGAACCTAGTTGCCACGCCAAGAGGAAGCCCAATAACCATGTGGAGGAGAACCAAGACCCCCCACACCCCCTGCTGACAGCCCCAGACGAGCTCCCAGCTTGTGGCCAGCACCAAATACCGGCCATGTGAGTGAGGCCATTTTGTGCTTTCCAGCTGGTCCAGTGTCCCAGCTGACAACTTGGAAGCCAAAGAACTATCTGGTCAACCCACAGACTCATGAGAAACAGTAAATCGTTAAGTTAAGTTACTAAGCCTTGGGTGATTTGTTATGCAGCAATAGATAAGAAACACATCTAAATTCATAACCAATTGGCAGGCCAACATAGGAACCAGACAGAAATTTAAAGTAATAAATGATAATGTAGAATGGGGCATGCGGCTAGTTAGTTCTTTACTCATGAACTAGACAGAGTCCAGTGACTGGTACAGCTGGATACTCTTGGGCCTTCTCTTCTTCCCCTTCCCTCCTGGGCTGATGGGGAGGCTCCTTTCATGAAACAGGAATTTGCTCTCTGCACAAAGCCTGGCTCCCCAAGAAAAGGAGGCCGAGCTGAGCGTGATCAGTTTCTTTTCCCAAACTCATAGTCAGATAACTCAATCCTCCCGCAGAGGACGGGTAGGGAGGCTGAGAGAGATGGTCTGGCTGGTCTCCCTCCACAGGGAAATATGAAGGATGGAGAAGAGCGTGCCAACAGTGACAAAGATTCTGCAAAAGAGAAGCTGTGTTTGTGCCACTTTGCACAGGCTGGACAGGGAAGGCCTCTCTGACATTTGAGCAGGGACCTGGATGGGGAGCTGTGGGGACACCTGGGGAAGAGCTTCTAGGCAGAGAGGGGGTTAGCGTGTTTGCAGAGCAGCACGGAGGCCTGTGTGCCTGGAGCTGGGGGGTGGGCAGTGAGGAGAAGAGAAGGGATTGCCGTTGAAAGGTGGGCAGTGGAGAACACGCAGGCCTGGCGGACCTGGGAGGGATGTCAGACTTTATTTTATATGTGATGGGAAGTCATCAGAAGGTGGTCAATTTTCCTTGATAGATACAGCCTCCGAATCACAGAGGCTAGGGCTTCAGCGCCTGGTGGTCAGCCTTCCTGTCGTGGGAGGTGTGGGTGAGCCAAGGTGAAGGGGCGGCAGGGTTTATGTGCATTGGTGAGGCCGCCAAGCTGGGCTGGGGTGCAGGGAGGGGACTCCAGGTGTTCAGTCGTGTGCACTGCGATCGGGTCTAGATCGGGTCCAACACCTGGCTGGTTTCAGACCCTTTCAGAACAGAATGGCCAAACAAAAGTCATCTGCTTCATGAGAACTCTGAGCTGAGCCACTTGGGCAGTGGAATTTCAGACAACAAACTTCGTGGGTGTCTATGATGTTCAGGGCATCCGAAAGGCACGGGCAAGGGTGGGAGGGAGGGCAGTGATGACTAAGGTGGGCTCTGCTTGCTTTCCTGGAGGAGGACAAGGAAGGTGATGTCTTTGTAATGACAGGTAGGATGCTGTCACCACCACAAGGGAGTGCTGAGGGGCGGTC